AACATGGATTTGCGTTTTTAATATTCTAAATTGATGTTGATTTTTGTGCTGCTGCTGCTGCTCTTGTTGTTGTTGTTGTTGTTGTTGTTCGGCTTCGATATGCTTCAGGGACAGCCAGGGATTTTTTTCTTTTTTTGAATATTGGGGCTGGGCTGTTGCCCCGCCCACTTAACTAACTAGCTGGTGCTGCGTTTACAAGTTTTTCGCATGAACGCACCCACTTGTCTTGTCAGAGGTCTCCGTCTCCTGCCTCTATTAACCCGTTTTAGTTTCTGTGTCTCTTTTTCTCTCTATCTTCCCATCTCTTTTCTTGCCCTTTTTTTTTTGTGACTTTTAAAGCCTTTTCAGCTGGTTAGTTGGTTGCTTGGTTGACTGAACGCAGCTCAGTCTGAGTTTTTCTTTCATTTTCCTTCACTTACTTTTTCTTTTGGCGAGTGTGTGCGGGCGTGTGTATGCGAATATGCGTATGTGTGTGTGTGTGTGTGTGTGTGTATGTGATTTATGGCCACATCTGCATATGGGTGTAGCTATATTTAGATTGGGCTAGGTCTGTTTGCGTAGAGCTTGATGCCAGCACAATAAATTGGAAAATGAACCACTCAAGGGCAGCTCAACTAGCATTAAATGTTCATATAATCGAAGTAAATATTTATGTGCTGTTATTTTGCGTTAGTTTTGCAGAAGTTCTCAATTTAGAATTGAATAGAAATGATATGTAAAATAATAAAACTTCAACTGCTAAAGAAATAGTAAAAAAAAAAGTATACTGAATTTATATTAAATTATAGTTTAGTTTAAAAAATCGATTTCAATAATATATTCCTATTATTTACATATATAAATATAAATCAGAGAAAAATAAATAAATATATAAAGATAAGAAAATTAAAGTAAAATTATATTTTTCAGTCAAGAGCAAACTTTTCAAATAAAAAATAATTTCTCAAATATAATATTTTTAAGATACAGTTAAATTTCAAGTGTATTAATAATTTTAGAAAATATATTTTATATATTTATATTTGAAATATATTTTAAACTTCATAAATAAATTTTAAATTTATTTATATCTATTTATATCTATTTATAAACACATTTATAGCTTTATGGCAGCATATCACTTTCTACTCTACTCAAAATATTCATTATTTATATAGAAAGCCCATTTGAGGATCATTTTTCAGCCACGTCTTTTGGCTGTGGCCCACATTGCTCGATTTCTGTATTTCTTTTGGGCCATTTGCACTCCCGGTTGCCCTATTGCTACCGCAGACCAACATTTTGTCTCTTGTTGGCTAATATTTCTTTTATTTGCTGCGCTCCTTTCGTGTGCCCTCAATGCGAGCTGTGCCCTTCCCTACTTTTGCAGAGAACGACCGCCCACATGAAAATCGATATTGCTTCCTGACTTTCTGAGCTCACTTTTTTGTTCGGTTCTGTTCTGCTGCCTTTTTCTGTTTTTGTGGTTGGCTTTTGCTTTTTGCGGTATCCTTGGGGAATATTTTTCAATATTTGCATGTAAATCACGAAAAGCACGTCAAATTTGTTTGCTTGGTTAAAACGTCGTTATTGCGACTCTCCAGCTAAGAGCCAAGAGCAAGGCGTTCACATTGATTGGGTTAGGCAATAAAAGCGAGCAGGAGGCAGCAGCAGCAGCAGCAGCAGCAGCAGCAGCTGGAAAAGGCAGTTCACTTGCTCAGTTAGAGTGGGAGTGGGTGAAGAGGAGGGGGGAGCAGGGTGGCGGTGTCTCTGTCAATAATAAAAACATAAGTTGCCTATTTCTGATGTTGTCAGCGCAATTTCTGTCGAACGTCGTCAGCATTACGCATACGCAATGTCCGCTCACTTACACAGAAAGGGGTAGAGCTTATCAAATATGAAAGTCAGTCAGGTTTATACAAATATTGTGGGCTACTTATTTGCTGTTGCTTAGCGCACAAAAACAAAAGCATATTTGCACTTGGCTGAATACACAAATGCGAGTGGCTAACAACAAAACAAAGAAATAATAACAAATAAGTCAAACACTCGGGTTGGCTTTAATATAAGTTTAAGCGAGAGAGCAGTTCATGAGGGAAACAAATTAGAATATTTATGGCACTAGAAATGTTGGTTATATTCTTTTTTCTGTTTTTTTCTCTTATGTATTCACCATCATATTATAATCATACGATTCTATAATTTATGTTTTAAGTATGTATTTGTTTCTAAAAAAAAAAAAAAAAAAATAATAATAAATAAATTTTTGTTCAACCTTATGAATGGAGAAGCCTGACAATTTCAATAAAATATTCAGCTATATGAAAATTATAATACAAATATTTTTCTAACACTTAATATATGTTACATCATTTTTCAATACATACAGAACACAAAGCTCATATTTAAATTTTAAACTTATTTTATATTTTTTGCGATGGATCACAATATATTAGAGAAGATAGCACCATATTTAACTATCGATACATAAAAAGAATGTTATCGATACTGCATTATAAAAACATCGTCTCTCGACGAGAACGTCATGAAGAGAAGAAGAAGAGAATGCAATTCACAATAGTAGCAGATTCTTGTGAATCATTAATGTACAATTAAATTAAACGTTGCTCATTTTGAAACTAGAAATGTTTTGTACATCTCAAAATTTATATAAATTCCTTGCATTTTTGTTCATCTAAAATTTCATCTATATTTTTTTTGTAATTATTTTTACTTTATCTTTCTCATATGTTTGTTCATTCTATAAAGTCTTAAGGGCTCATCATCATATATAGATTTCATGAAAGCCCAAGAAACTTAAGAAAGATATTCAATTATCTTCTCCTCTTATCATATATCTTTCATAACGAGCCTTATGAATATTAATATGCCTTGCCTGGCCGCCAGAGCTCAAGCATATCTTTAATTGAGCTGAGCGCTATCATAAATCTTCCACACACACACATACACAGATATGTTTATGTGTGTGTGCCTTATAAATATTGCCTTAACGGTCATTTATTAACTCATTATCAGCAGCTGGCATTTTGCACCTTTTCAGCGCCTGTTTAACGCTTGACTGAGTCACGACCTCGAATCGAACCGTACCGAGCCGTACCGAAACTGAAACTGAATCGAAAGCTGAGCCGAAAACTGAAATCGTAGCTAGCCTGGCCTAGAACTCTTGGCCGTGCCACTGAACCTGACACTGATTATGACTTTGATTAATTTATTGATGGTTGGCGTGTTTCCTGCTGTGCTCAGCCATAGCCACGGCACCTACCGGACCGCCCTCTGTGCTCGCATTAAAAGTTTTGTCTGTATTTTGCTTTAGGTATTTCTTCTTTTTCTTTTATTTTTCTTTTTTTTTTTTTTTGGCGAGGGAAACTTCGCTTTCGTGTTCACTTTCCATGCGTTGAAAGACTTTGATTTATGTTGATTTATAGACATCACTTTAAATTTAATAAAAGTCATGCTCGAACAGGTTTGAAACTAAGGCGCAGAGCAAATGCGCTTATTCACTTTGCAGATTAAAATGAAATGAAATGAAATAAAATAAAATGCAAAAAGTAAAATGTAATTTACGTAAAAGCAGCTGCTGCTTCTCCCCTTTTTTTGCTGGATTTATTCGTTATATATTTTGTTGAATGCACAAAGCTCGCTTTTCAGAGCGCCGAAAATAAACCAAAAAGAACAAAAATTTGTACTTTCAGCTGCTTTTCAAGTGCTTGAAAGTTACTTGATTTATTACACTACTCTCCCACGCTGTCTATACAAAAATGTCTCTATGTCTATGTATGTGTGTGTGTGTGTGGTAGGGAGGAAAAATATTCACCTTAGCCGAATTTATAACTGAGCACATCGGTCTAGCTGCCAGTGTCAGCGACAGCAGGATGGAAAGGTGTGCAAATTACAGGTTCACAATTTGACCACAAGAAAAAAAAAAAAAAAAGAAACTGCCAGCAGAGAAAACGGAACACGAAAAATGGGAATTGGTAAATGGAGAATGCAAAAGCAGCGAACGCCATGCAAAATAAATGCAGACAGCTGAGTTAGTGCCTTAAATCTGCGGTTGGCCAGACCAAAAGCGAAAAGAGAACAAAATTATATATGTTGATAATGCAGCCTGATTTATCATGCAGTCCAGGTGAAGCAAATCTTTTCAACTGCTTAACGAAAAGGTGTTCACAGGAAAAAATTGAAAAAATAATAATAATAATAATAATATATACATCTATAAAATATATTTAAATGTAAATGGCCAATATTCCATTTAAATTATTTAAAAGTGCTGTTACCAATTGCAAAAGCTTTTTTATTATGAAATAGCATTTTTTTTTTTTTCAATTTTACTTTATAAGGATTGCCCAATATTCGCTCTAATCACTATGGCTAGTGCTATAATATTATAAGCTTTAATAAACTACATCTTCCCGGGAAACGTTGCATTTTTATGAATATGCGATTGTTACGAGCACATTTGCAATTGTTGATGTTATCGATAGTTTGAGTACATTTGGAAATGAGTAAAAATTTATTAAAATGAGTATCTAAAATCTGAGCTTATAGAAGGACAAATCGAATTTAAATTACATGAAATGAAGTACTTACAATTATTAATTTAAATCCTTCTCACATAAATAGTTATCGATATTGCCGATATAATTGGAAATTTCCAATCGTATCCAATTTCATGCAGTCACGACTATCGAATAGTGGCAATAATAATTGCAATTGCAACACTGCATTCTGAACTATCGATAAAAGTGTCAATCGGGTATACGATATTTGTATCACTTGCCATAAATTATCATTATCTAAGTCAACTCAAATTCTGCTAGCATTTCCGAAATGCTATACGAATACAGCTTTTCGGCTGACTAGTATACGAATTAAATTATTGAATTACAAACTATCGATAGCGCAATTTGCAACACTGCAGGTATCGAAAGATTCACATTTGCAACGCTGCTCAAAGAGTAGGTATCGAAAGTGCCAACTGGCGTGCAGCTAAGTTCCAAAGCTTCCGGCGTTCTTTCTTTCCGCCGTCGACTCTTGAGCTGAGCAGGTTAACTGGTCTGCCTGACGAATCATCCGAGGACCGAGGGACGTTGAAGCCATGGACAAACCAATTGTCTGGGCACGTGTCGTGAAGGTGCTCGGTCGCACCGGCTCCCAGGGACAGTGCACCCAAGTGAAGGTGGAGTTCCTTGGCGAACAGAATCGCCAGATCATCCGCAATGTCAAGGGACCCGTGCGCGAGGGCGACATTTTGACGCTGCTCGAATCGGAGCGCGAGGCTCGTCGTTTGCGTTAGGAGGAGTGGAGCAGAAAATTTAACTTCATCACAGCCGCTTGTTTGGAATTAGGACTTAAACGATCACTCAATAGTAATTAAGTATATGCATTTTTGCGCAAGAAGTTTTCGCGAGGCTTCTTGGTGAATGCATGCATATAGAGCTCCCAAAAAAGAAAAACGTGAATAACATAGAAATTAGTTTACATCAGATTTTCATGCTTAAAGCTGCATAAGGGCTTACAACAATCTATCACACACAAAGCTGCATAATGGCTTACAATAATCTATCACACGCAAAGCTGCATAAGGGCTTACAATAATCTATCACACTTGAGGCTGCATAATGGCTAAAACAATAATTTGTAATAATGGTGAAGGTGATTCGGAGTGCCTGATTTGCTGAAAAGGTTTTGGCGAACATATGAAAAACAACAAACACTTTGAGGATACTGGACGATGGATTTCAAAAATGTTTTACTACAATCGATATATACAATAGCTATACTTTAATATGTGTAGATTCGCACAAGAGCTTCGGGGATACCTCTAGGCGAATATATACATATACAACAACAACAAAACATCTATACTATGTGTACATTCGCGCAAGAAGTTTTGGCCAGCCTTCTTGGCGAATATATGCATACATATAATAAAAATATACATAGAAGTAGGCAGAATAATTAATGCTAGTTTAGTATGTACTTAGTTTTTTAGGAAGTAGTATCTAGAATTTTGAACGGACACACATAGAGATAACACATAGAAAGATAACGTATGGAGATTATAACACACAATTCTACTTTGGGCTGCATAATGGCTTTATATTTCTAAAGTACTTTAGATACACAAAAATATGTAATACTTAAAGCTGCATAATGGCTAAATCGAAAATACCTTAAGCTGCATAATGGCTAAATAATCAAAAATACTTCAAGCTGCATAATGGCTAAATAATCGAAAATACATCAAGCTGCATAATGGCTTAAAATTATATTTACTCAAAATGTATAAATATCCTTAACCTTATAACGAAAATATGAAAATAAAAAAAAAAATAAACAAATTTTATTATTTGTGTTTGATCAATTTCTGAGAATTTTTAAATCTATTAAACATTATACAAATTAAAACAAAATTGTTTAAAAAAAAAATTATTTAGAATTTTTAAAAATTATTCAGGTCATTGTGGCATAAAATATATGCGAGTTAATTGAATATATAAATTTTTAAATTTTATTGAAGTAAAAATAAATATATTGAAAGAGATCTCATTTATACAGCAATAGGAAAAGCTGCGCTAAAAGTTATCGATTGCTAAGAGTAATCGATTGGCTGTGAAAGCGTTCAACTGTGGGATTTTTTCCCACTTTTCTTTTTGATTTAGCCTGGTTAGTGTTAGTGATTTAGCTAAACTTTATTTATCTTCTATATCGATGATGTGTTTCAGTTGCATTAAAACTGAATTAAATTAGCTAAAAAGCTGTGCGTGGCCTTCTCAGACTTTTTTAACAAATGAGCTGCAGGCACAGGTGCGAGAGTGTGTATGTGTGTGTGTGTGTGTGTGTATAAAAATCACATTTATGCCATTTAGCAACAATTTATCTTTGCTGTCAGACCACAAACACCCATGCAGACACACACTTACACACACCTACACATACAGAGTGTGGGTGCCTTGGACTGCTTCGGGTTAAGGCAGGACAGGGACAGGCATTTATCATGCAAAACCAAGATAATTTATAACCACCAGGCAGCAGGCGGGCATCAAATGGACAGAGGCCAGCCCACCCAGACACCGGCATAGCCGTACACACACACCCACACACATACACACAGTCTGTAAAGGTTTTGCCACTCATCGTCTGCTTCTGCTCGTCGTTTTACAGTGCTGCGCGATGAGTTTCGCCTGGAGCCACAGAACACGCGCATCGCACAGGGTGACACAGCGCTGCTGGAGTGTGCTGCGCCGCGGGGCATACCGGAACCGACGGTCACGTGGAAGAAGGGCGGCCAGAAATTGGATTTGGAGGGCACGAAGCGTATACGCATCGTTGATGGCGGCAATTTGGCCATACAGGATGCACGTCAAAGTGACGAGGGTCAATACCAGTGCATTGCCAAGAATCCGGTCGGTGTGCGCGAATCATCCCTGGCCACGCTCAAAGTACACGGTAAGCATCCTCCCTCTCCCTACCCTACCCAAGTCTGCCCACGACGGTGTGGCACACCTCGAATCAATGTGTCATGTCCAATTTGCTGAATTGTGACTTGGGTCGCTCTCTCTCGCTCCGTGCACAGCAAGCACCTCAAATGCCGCTAAGCGCTTCATTATGTTTATTGCAGTTAAGCCCTACATCATACGCGGACCACATGATCAAACGGTTCTCGAAGGCGCCTCCGTCACATTTCCCTGCCGTGTGGGCGGGGATCCCATGCCGGATGTGCTCTGGCTGCGCACAGCCTCCGGCGGCAACATGCCCCTAGGTGAGTCCTGTCCGCCTGTCCGCCTGCCTGGAGGTGTTTCATCTAATACTAATATAATTTCCCGGCTGCCTGCAGACCGTGTCAGCGTCCTGGAGGATCGCAGCCTGCGCCTCGAGCGTGTCACTATTGCGGATGAGGGCGAATACAGCTGCGAAGCCGATAATGTGGTCGGCGCCATTACAGCAATGGGCACCCTGACGGTGTTTGGTAAGTGAAGGCAGCAATTGCTTCAATACTTGTGAGCTAATGACACGAGCTGAAAGAGCGTAGCTACTGAAGCAGATTCGAACTGAAGAGGAGCTTTGGCATAAGGGAGAGACTCTATTTGAAATGTATTAAAAATGATGCAGAAGCACATTCGAGATTCAAACTGAAGAGGAGCTTTAGAATCAATTCGAAATGTATTAAAAATGATGCAGAAGCACATTAGAGCTTAGAAGTTCAAGTTCTTACTGAACCTCAATACGAGCTGAATTAAAAACCTATATTAAAGCTTAATGACATATTCATTAAGATATTAAAAGCACCTCAAAGCTGCTGCATAGGTATTTAAATTCAGTAGAGCTTATAAATTGAAATTGTAAATGAGCTAGGTTTATATGTATTTGAGATGCAATAGAAGGCTGCGAAAGCACATTGAATATTCCAAATTGTTGAATGAATGGTGTAGCTGATATAAAACTCATGAAATAATTTTAAATTAGAACAAAAAGCTCTTGCTCTATATTTTTAAATGCTTTTAAAATGAACTTTAAAAAAAAAACTGATTTATTAGTCCTTTGAATGCATTTGCAATCCAGTTTTCATTTGGCATCTAAAATGAAGAAACTTTGCAAGCACAAACATACGTTATTAAATATAGTACAGAATGATTAAAATAAATTGGATACAGTTTATTATATTTTTCATTTCAAGTCAAGTCAAAGCATTAAAGTATATTCAAGTCATTGGCTTCGCAGATTAAATAAGAGAGATTCGCTTGTAGCTCGTGTCATTGTACTCTATTTAGTGCTAGTCTCGCTTAGCTAATTAGTTGATACCCTACCTTCCCACGCCTCCGCACACTGTAGCACCCCCGAAATTCATACAACGACCCGCCAGCAAATCAGTTGAGCTCGGAGCGGACACCTCGTTCGAGTGCCGTGCCTCGGGCAATCCAAAGCCCACCATATTCTGGACAATCAAGAACAACAGCACGCTGATCTTTCCCGGGGCACCGCCATTGGATCGGTTTCACAGCCTGAACACCGAGGAGGGGCACTCGATCTTGACATTGACGCGCTTCCAGCGCACCGACAAGGATCTGGTCATCCTGTGCAATGCCATGAACGAGGTGGCTAGCATCACGTCGCGGGTGCAGCTCACCCTTGACTCGCAGGAGGATCGGCCGCCGCCGATAATCATCGCGGGGCCCGTGAACCAAACGCTGCCCGTCAAGAGTCTGGCCACGCTGCAGTGCAAGGCGATTGGCCTGCCCAATCCGACGATCTCCTGGTACCGCGATGGCATCCCCGTGCAGCCCAGTGCCAAGCTGAACATCACGACTGCCGGTGATCTGATTATATCCGACCTGGACCGGCAGCAGGATCAGGGCCTCTACACCTGCGTGGCCAGCTCGCGGGCCGGCAAGTCCACCTGGAGCGGCTTCCTGCGCATCGAGCTGCCTACCAACCCGAACATCAAGTTCTATCGTGCGCCCGAGCAGAGCAAGTGTCCCTCTGCTCCCGGTCAGCCGACGGTGCTGAATGCCACCGCCTCAGCCATGACAATCGTGTGGCCCACGAGCGACAAGTTGGGCGCCTCGCCCTTCCTCGGCTACAGCGTGGAGATGTACTGCACGAACAAGAGCAAGACCTGGATCCCCATCGCCAGCAGGCTGAGCGAGCCCATTGTCACGGTGGAGCGGCTGGAGGCGGGCGCCGCCTACATGTTCATTGTGCGCGCCGAGAACGCGCTCGGCTTCTCGCCCCCCTCGCCCATCTCGGAGCCAATCACAGCCGGGCAGCTGGTGGGCGCCAGCTCCTCCAGCTCGGCCAGCTCGCAGCTGATGCTCAGCGATGTGGAGACGCTACTGCAGGCGAACGACATTGTCGAGCTGCTCGAGGCGAATGCCAGCGACTCGACCTCCGTTCGGCTGGCCTGGGACATCGACAGCGGCCAGTACATCGAGGGCTACTATCTGTACGCCAGAGAGCTGCGCTCCTCGGAGTACAAGATGCTGACGCTGCTCAACAAGGGGCAGGGGCTGAGCTCGTGCACGGTGCCCGGTCTGGCGAAGGCTTCTACGTATGAGTTTTTTCTTGTGCCATTTTACAAGAGCGTCGTAGGCAAACCCTCCAACTCGAGACAGGCTCGCACCATGGAAGATGGTAAGGCTGCCCGAACTACAGGCTTTACTGGCTTACCTGCTAATCAGAGCTGCTTCAATGGCGCCTTATCAACTAGAACTAATTCGCAATTCAATCTCCCTCCACTCTCTCTTTGCTCTCTGACAGTGCCCGAGGCGCCGCCGTTCGGCATGGAGGCCATCCAATTTAATCGCACCTCCGTCTTCCTGAAATGGCTTGCGCCACAGCCGAATCGCACGCACAACGGTACGTACTAAATAAATCCCTCAGAGCGGCCTAGAATGGGCTCCTTACCGTGGAGGCCTCTTATCTAATCTGTATGAGTTAGGTGTGAGACAGCTGGGAGCGTGGGCCGAGAAATTTCCATTACTTTCGAGAGTAGATATTGAGCTTTTACTTTGAATGTAATATTATAGGACAAATCCTAGCATTTAGGGATTTTATGATTTATAAAAAATAAATTAGAGCTAAATATGTCAATTCTAAATTAAAATTATTTTAATATCTAATTTTTATAAATAAATATTTACAGAAACACAATACGAATATAAATTTGTATTACTCTGTATTATTTATTATTGCCTTTGTATAGTTTTGTAATTATTTTATAATTAATTATATTTATAAATTCTAATTTAATTTAATGTTTTTAAATTTATTTACTGTTCATTATTTATATATTTTATTTTCTTATTTTATTTTATTTATATATTATTATATTTTTAAATTATATTATAATTATTTATATGTATGAATCATTTTGTAATTGATTTATAATTATGTTTTTTAAATAATATTTATAATCATGTCATTGCATTCTAATCTTTTACTTATTGATAATTCATGATATATTTTATTTTCTTATTACGTTCTATTCATATATTGTATTTTGAATATTATTTGTATGTTGTTTTTTTTTTTCAATATTATAATTCATTTTATTAATGAAGTATATTTTAATTGATTGTTATTATTTATAATTTATTTATTTATTTCTTTTTTTTTTTTTTTTTTTTTTTTGAATAGTCAGGTCCGCCCGAGGCTGTGCCGTAGACTGACTGACTATATTTATTTATTTATTCTTTTGCTTTTCAATTAGTATATATTTTTTATTGGCAGCGATTTTAATAAATATAATTGATTTTAATTAATGCGTTTTATTTTT